ATAAACGATAACTGTGGGGGCGGGGTCAAATAATCTCCATGGTAATGGGATGTGCCAATGCTAATACGACTGAATACCAAATATCATTGACTTACCACTAGTGGTTTCCCATAAGCCGACCTAATCACAAACTAATACATGAAAACTAAGCAAAAGTTTCAAAGTCAATAGACCATGACTGAGGAAGCAGGGCCAAATAATCTTTATGGAAATGAGATATGCCAATGCGTATTCAACTGCATACCAATTATCATGAACTTACCACTAGTGGTTCCCCATAAACTGACCTAGTCACAAACTAATACATGAAAACTAAGCAAAAATTCAAGTCAATAGACCATGACTGAGAGGGCGGGGCCAAATAATCTCCATGGAAATGAGATATGCCAATGCTTATACAATTGCATACCAATCATAATTAACTTACCACTAGTAGTTCTCCATAAACTGACCTAATCACAAACTAATACATGAAGACTAAGCAAGAATTTCAAATTCAGTCAATAAACCATAACTGAGGGGGCGGGGCCAAATAATCTCCATGGTAATGAGATGTGCCAATACAAATACAACTGCATACCAAATACCTTCGACTTACCACTTGTGGTTCACTATAAACTAGACCTAATCACAAACTAATACATTGTTGACGCCGCTGTCGTCACCAACGCCAGAAACAGCATACATATGCCTTGCTTTTTGACTCCGTCAAGCGAGACAAAAACAGCATATATTTTTTGTAAAACATACATCAAATATTGGCTTACCAATCAGGCAAAAAATGATAACATCAATTTAATCTCCAATGATTTACCAAACTTACATATATATATATATATATATATATCGTGTGAACAACTGGAGTGGAATATAATAGTTGTTGTTTATCATATTTATTTTTCGTTTAATGTCTTTTACGTAAATTGGAATTGTTTTACATCTGTCATTTCAGGACCTTTTATAGCTTGCTAGATGCAGTATCAGTTTTGCTCATTGTTGAAAGCTGTTCATACAGTGATCTATATTTGCTAACATTCAGTCATTTGGACTCTGGTGGATAGTTGTCTCATTGGCAATAATACTACATATTCTCATTTTTATCAACATAAATTACCGTAATAATGAAAACTAACTCTATTCATGCATGTGTACTACACATTACCTGTATATATAATATATACTAGAATACTCCCGGGACATCATGGGGTCGTGACTGAAGCAAAGTACCTTAGCCTTATTTTTAGCCTGGATTTTAAGATTTTTCGTTTTGTCATCTAATAATGTCATGCTGGTCATTAGGTGCACAGTTTTCTCTGCTTTCAAAATCTTTCTTTTTGAACCCTTCGACCCAGAACTTGTTAATTACGACGCCGACGGAATGTAGGATCGCTATGTCTCGCTTTTTAGACAAAAGTCAAAGGCTCGACAATAAAACTAGAGGCTCTCAAGAGCCTGTGTCGCTCACCTGATTCTACTTTGGTTTTGGAAATCATGTAAAAATAGATTAAAATCATAACAGATACCCTCATAATGAGTGAGGCCAAATTTGGTTTGATATTGGTCCTGTAATTTAATAAAAAATCCTGGTGGCCATCTTGAACAGTAAATCGGCAACAAAGTAGCAACACTTAATCAGCACATCATAAGAAACATTTATGCCATGTTTTGGTTTCATTCCATTCAGTGCACCTCTAGAAGAAGCATTTGTATGTATTTCCAATAGGTTCTTATGTTAAAGGAAGTCCCCCCCATTGGCGGCCATCATGGATGAAGGATCAGCTTCAAAGTAACAAAACTTAATCAGCACCTCATAAGGAACATTCATGCCATGTTTGGTTTCAATCCATTCAGTATGTGGTTCTCTAAAAGAAGACATTTGTATGTATTGTCCATAGGATCCCATGTTAAACATTGTCCCCATCTGGCAGCCATCATGGATGAAGGATCAGCTTCAAAGTAACAACACTTGGTCAGCACCTCAAAAGGAACATGCATGCCATGTTTGGTTTCATTCCATTCAATGGTTCTCTAAAAGAAAACATTTGTACGTATTTCTCATAGGGTCCTATGTTAAACTAAGTCCTCCGCTGGCGGCCATCTTAGATTATGGATTAGCTTCATAGTAACAACACTTGGTCAGCACCCCATAAGGAACATTCATGCCATGTTTGGTTTCATTGCATTCAGTGGTTCTCTAAAAGAAGACATTTGTATGTATTTCCCATCGGGTCCTATGTTAAACTAAGTCCCCCGCTGGCTGCCATCTTGGATGATGGATCAGCTTCAAAGTATCAACACTTGGTCAGCACCTCATAAGGAACATTCTTACCATGTTTGGTTTCATTCCATTCAGTGGTTCTCTAAAAGAAGATATTTGTATGCATTTCCCATAGGGTCCTATGTTAAACTAAGTCCCCTGCTGGCAGCCATCTTGGATTATGGATCAGCTTCATAGTAACAACACTTGGTCAGCACCTCATAAGGAACATTCATGCCATGTTTGCTTTTATTCCATTCAGTGGTTCTCTAAAAGAAGACATTTGTATGTATTTCCCATAGGGTCCCATGTTAAACTAAGTCCCCCGCTGGCGGCAATCTTGGATTACGGATCGGCTTCAAAGTAACAACACTCGGTCGGCACCTCATAAGGAACATTCATACCATGTTTGGTTTCATTCCATTCAGTGGTTCTCTAAAAGAAAATATTTGTATGTATTTCCCATAGGGTCCTATGTTAAACTAAGTCCCCCGCTGGCAGCCATCTTGGATTATGGATCGGCTTCAAAGTAACAACAATCGGTCAGCACCTCATAAGAAACATTCATGCCATGTTTGGTTTCATTCCTTTCAGAGGTTCTCTAAAAGAAGACATTTGTATGCATTTCCCATAGGGTGCTATGTTAAACTAAGTCCCCCGCTGGCGGCCATCTTGGATGATGGATCCGCTACAAAGTAACAACACTCGGTCAGCACCTCATAAGAAACATTCATGCCATGTTTGGTTTCATTCCATTCAGTGGTTCTCTAAAAGAAGACGTTTGTATGTATTTCCCATAGGGTCCCATGTTAAACTAAGTCCCCCGCTGGCGGCAATCTTGGATTATGGATCGGCTTCAAAGTAACAACACTCGGTCAGCACCTCATAAGGAACATTCATACCATGTTTGGTTTCATTCCATTCAGTGGTTCTCTAAAAGAAGACATTTGTATGCATTTTTCATAGGGTCCTATGTTAAACTAAGTCCCCCGCTGGCGGCCATCTTGGATGATGGATCCGCTACAAAGTAACAACACTTGGTCAGCACCTCATAAGAAACATTCATGCCATGTTTGGTGTCATTCCATTCAGAGGTTCTCTAAAAGAAAACATTTGTATGCATTTCCCATAGGGTCCTATGTTAAACTAAGTCCCCCGCTGGCGGCCATCTTGGATGATGGATCCGCTACAAAGTAACAACACTTGGTCAGCACCTCATAAGGAACATTCATGCCATGTTTGGTTTCATTCCATTCAGTGGTTCTCTAGGAGAAGTTCAAAATGTAAAAAGTTAACGCCGACGACGGACGACGCTGGACGACGACGGACGACGACGGACGACGGACGCCAAGTGATGAGAAAAGCTCACTTGGCCCTTCGGGCCAGGTGAGCTAAAAAGCACTTTTTTGATGTTAAAATCCAGCAGCTACAACCATTGACTTCCCTTTCTTGCTTAAACTATCCTGGATTTCTACCTAACTTGGACAGAAGCTTGTTTATGATCATAAGAAAGTATCTAGAAGTAAATTTTGTAAAAAAAAAAATCCTGTTTTTCCGTGTTTTACTTATAAATGGACTTAGTTTTTATGCCAGGAAACATTACATTCACTCTGTGGTTAAAGTTTTTAAAATTTTAATAACTTTCTTAAACTATCCTGGATGTTTACCAAACTTGGACAAAAGCTTATTTATGATCAAAAGCTAGTATCTAGAAGGAAATTTTGTTAAAATTGTGTACCTGTTCATCCGTACTTTACTTATAAATGGACTTAGTCTTTCTTCCAGTTAACATTACATACAGTCTGCAGTTAAAGATTTAAAACATTTATTTGATTCATAAACCATCCTGGATTTTTACCAAACTTGGACAGAAGCTTCTTACAATCAAAAGATAGTATCGAAAGGAATATTTTTATTAAATTTTTTTCTCATTTTTGTTGAGCCTGCAATTAACAGCAAAAGTAGGCGAGACACTGGGTTCTGTGGAACCCTTAGGATTTTTCTGAAATTGCCTTGGAATTCAGTATTTTTAGCTCACCTGGCCCAAAGGGCCAAGTGAGCTTTTCTCATCACTTGGCGTCCGTCGTCGTCGTTAACTTTTTACATTTTGAACTTCTTCTAGAGAATCACTGAATGGAATGAAACCAAACATGGCATGAATTTTCCTTATGAGGTGCTGACCAAGTGTTGTTACTTTGAAGCCGATCCATCATCCAAGATGGCCGCCAGAGGGGGACTTAGTTTAACATTGGACCCTATGGGAAATACATACAAATGTCTTCTTTTAGAGAACCACTGAATGGAATGAAACCAAACATGGCATGTATGTTCCTTATGAGGTGCTGACCAAGTGTTGTTACTTTGAAGCCGATCCATAATCCAAGATGGCCACCAGCGGGGGACTTAGTTTAACATAGGACCCTATGGAAAATATTTAAAAATGTCTTCTTTTAGAAAACCACTGAATGGAATGAAATCAAACATGGCATGAATGTTCCTTATGAGGTGCTGACTAAGTGTTGTTACTTTGAAGTCGATCCATAATCCAAGATGGCCGCCAGCGGAGGACTTAGTTTAACATAGGACCCTATGGGAAATACATACAAATATCTTCTTTTAGAGAACCACTGAATGGAATGAAACCAAACATGGCATGCATGTTCCTTTTGAGGTTCTGACCAAGTGTTGTTACTTTGAAGCCGATCCATCATCCAAGAAATTAAATACTGTAACAAATACATACCAGTTACATTCATATATACTGTAGCTATAGGATCTCCTCAATATCTAATCCTGTTGTTAATTTCATTTAAACATATAATGTATATAGCTTCCCTTCCACTTACATCTGAGGAGCTAATTCTGAAAATTAAAATTCCTGTGATTATCATATAAAATCTGAACCTGATGTAGTCTGCTTTCCAATAAGAATAAATTGGGGAATACAGTTATCCCTTGGTAAAGAGAGAGAAAACAAGTGATATTTTTATATTATAACCAATACTGCACATGGTAATTGGAACATCACTAGTTTTCTGGATTGGATTGTTGCTCACTTTGTCAGGATCTTTTACAGCTGACTATATAGTATGGTTTTGTTCATTGTTGAAGGTCATACAGTGACCTAAAGTTTTTTACATCCTCTTTGACTAATGGAAAGTTTTCTCATTGACAATCCTACCATACATTGTAAGACCTTATTTATAAAATCCATATACATTTACAAGGTACTCAATAAATCAATGAGACTGACGCAGAAAATGTAGGTAAAAAAAAATATACTTTTGTTGGATCCTGCATCATAATTATTACAAGTTAAATGAAGGCAAGTCATAATCATTGAGTACATGTGCATTATATTTGAACTTAAAGTAAAGGATAATCTGATTAGTCTCTAATCAGTAATGAAGCCACACAACACTGTGTGACAACAGTGACATATAAGTCTCCAATAGATGCACATACTATTATTTTAGGTCTTTTGTATATATAGTTTAAGGTTACTTAGAATTGGCTGTTGACATACATGTACACATGGACTGTCAGGCATGGAGTCATTGGACCCTAGGTTACTCCAGTCCATTATCAGTCACTATCAATAGTCAACTCCTCTGTCCATTTGTTGTAATACAATGTACTGCTGAAAGGGAGAAAACAGTACTTTATTAATCATGTTAATAGCATGTGGATGCAAGACTATAATAAGTATTCAAAGAGTTTTGCAAACAATTAGCTTATACAATTAGGAGAATTCTGTATTTACCTAGTGATGTGACAGTAAACAGTGGCGGATCCAGAACTTTTTATAACTAAGGGGGTGGGGCCCACTCCAGTCATGCTTCAGTGATTCCCTATATAATCAACCAAATTTTTCCCACAAAAGGGGGGCCCCAAAGTACATTTTATTAATACCTTTCGTAAGCTTCAGAATAGTTTCAACGTTGACAAAAAGAATGGAGGACCTTTCACTGGACTGAAAATTTCAAATAGTCCAGGACCTTTCATTTTTTAATGCAAATTTTAACCCCTGCATGTAGGCCAATTTGAAAACCTGGCCCAAAATTAATAGACAGCTGCACCATGAGCACATGATACACCAATCGCTTATTCAAAGAATAAAGTTCAATAAATTTTCAATGTCATAATCAGACATTCATGAAAAACCAAAGGGAGGTTATCTTAATAGATATAAACCAGTCACCAAAGTTTCATGATAACTGCTCAAAGCATTATCTGAAATATGAAAATCCACCCTTTTTTATGAATAAAATCATATATTAAACTCTGAAACATAAAATCTAAAATCAATAAAAATAAAAAGGGAGCTTACGACAATAAATATAAACAATTCACCAAAGTTTCATGAAAACTGCTGTAAGCATTTTTGAGTTATTGTCTGAAAACTGGAAAATCTCCCTTTTTTAAATGAATAAAACCCCACAACTTGGAAACATAAAATCTTAAATTTATAAAAATCGAAAGGGAGCTCATGTCAATAGATACAAACAAGTCACATAAGTTTCTTGCCATTTGGTGAACACATTTTGAGTTATTGTCCAAAAACTGGAAAATCCCCCTTTTTTAATGTTTTTTGGATATCAATAACCTTGTCAAACATACATGGAATTTTGACATGGAATTAGTTATATCTGCACACAAGAACACACATTTGTATGTGTTTTTTCTGCATAAACATGTAATTCATAATTTATTAAAACTCCCGACATAGTCCCATTGTGCATTTCTTTTATGCCCTTGTCGTAACGGAGGGGGAATTAAGTTTTACACTTGTCTGTCTGTACATCCTTGCATACTTGCATTGCGAAATAGGTTTTATACCATTTTGATATATTGAATATTTTGACATTACACAGTCATACTTTTCTTAAGACTGCATGAAATGACAAACTGTGAAACATTGTTACACTAAATCTGTTGAATGTAAACTGATAAATATTTTAGTTTGGGAAAACATGTTTTTTGCACCTTTTTTATTATAAGACCTATTGATTAATCCAGTCCTTTTTGGCTAATTTTGAAAGTTGGTTCTTATGTTGTTTGCTGTCTGCCATTACTGTATGTAGTTTATATTTTTTCATCCTTGTAGGTTACTTTATGGTATTGATTTTGATCATTGTTTAAGGCTGTACATTGACAAGTAAATGTTTACATCTTTGTTCTTTGGTCTATTAATTGATAGTTGTCACATTGAGGATCATACCTCATCTTTTTATATTTATATGCTAGGTCATTGAAAAAGCTCCAAGGATACAACATAATTTAATTGTTATATATTTGCAAATTCATTCTGATAATGCACAAAAAATAAATTGATTGACTTTTTTTGCTTATTTTCATGTCCAGTGGCAAATATTTTATGTATTCTAAACGAGAACAACTTATCATGATCAATTCATAATATAGGCCAGTCTGACAATGCTTGTTTTAGACCCTTTTTGGTCTCTAATTCCTGAACGGTTTGGGCAAATACCCCCAAAATGAAACTTAACCATCTACTTGTGGTACAATTTCATAGCAATTAAAATACTTATAAACAAGTTATTGTCCTGAATTTAGAAAAATGCTTGATTTAGGCCTTTTTTTGGCCCCTAATTCCTACACTGGTTGAACCATGACCCCCAAAAATAATCCCAACCTTCCTTTTGTGGTATTGAACCTTTAAATCTAATTTCATAGACATTCATACACTTAAACTGAAGTTATGGTCCAGAAACCAAGTGTCTTCGAACGAGAAAATAGTAATATACAACCTAAAAACGTTTTTGCTGTAGTATACAATATGGTTGTTCTTTTAAACATTTTCATAAATAATCTACAATTGATTGATTGATTGTTGGTTGCTTAACGTCCAGTGGCAAATATTTCATGCATATTCAGGACGAGAACAAATTAACAATAAATACAATAGGTAGGTTCTGTAAGAGGGGCGTCCGGGATTGAGGTCGAAGAAATTTAGACTGCCACGGGAAATGAGGGTATATTGGATAGGGACAGAAATTTAGCCTTGCAACAGGTCACCTACGGACCCCTCAAAGAGTTGTTGCAAGGGTTCTTAACGTGCAAAGAGCGTGGCACTCTCTTTACACGAGGCATCGGATTTAACGTCCCCATTCTGACCGGACGTGGCTGCAAATTTGTACATCCCGCACAGCCAAACGGACGCCCCACTTTAGCAAGGGTTTTACTGCCGGTCGGAGGAAGACCAATGGTGACCATACTTCTATTCCCCAGTCACCCTTGGGGGGTAAATAATCTACAAGAAATTTAGACCTGTTTGGGATTGCTTGCAATGCAATTTTCATTACATTAAACAATGTATATTTCCAAGGAATAACTTCTGTAAACCTAAATTTTAATAGCACTTACTTTCTAACTCATACATTTCAAAGTGACATTATTCCTGTATAAATTATTTATCCAAGACATTACTGATATAAACCTTTGGTATACATTTCAGGCATAAACTTAAGACATACATTGTAGAAGTATGTCTTGCCTGTATGTAATCCTGTTAGTTAATTTCAAATGTTGAGATTTAAATGACAAGGCTTAAACATGTTAGCTATGTAAACATCCAAAGACAATGAAGCATGACTTGCAAAAGTGTCAAAATCATTAGACTATAACTGAGGGGCTGGGCAAAACAATAACTATGGCTCTGACATACAACTACATACCAAATATCAATGACTTATCATTACTGGTTCGCTCAAACTGACCTAATCAGAAACTTTCAACATTTAAGTTAAGTAAAAGTATAAAATATAAATAAATTGCTTCGTCGAGCGCAGCTGGATACGACCGTAGAGGTCCAACCCTGAACAGTTGGGGCAAAAATAGACACAATATTCGCGCTTGATACAGGTCTGAATTTGGATTAAAATTAAATGTTTGACACAGAATAACTGTAGTCAAAGAACTTAAATGATTTGAATTTATATTCAATTTTTTGCTTTTGTGCAATACACTATGCTGTTGCGAATTGCCCCCGCTACAATTTTTTTTCAAAAGCCAATTCTAGCCATCCTGTTGTGGTTATTTCACTCTCTGACGTCCTACAACAATAGGCGTTGTCACGACGTCGATAACTTCGGATCAAAACAAATTGTGAATGCGTAGAAAAAAGATATAGTTCCTTACATTTTCTACATTAATTTCATTAAAAAAAGCCATTTGCCAATGTAATAAAAAGAATAACTAATCAAAGAATTCAAATATCGAAAAATATTCAACTGGTGAGCGAACATCACTGATAATTAACTCATGCGCTATGCGCATTCGTGAATTAATGTGTTGTTCGGTCACTCGTTGAATATTTTTCTCTATTTGAATTCTTCGATTAGTTATTCTATAATTGTTGTACAATTTCAGAGAGATCCATACACCGTTCCACCAGTTATTGTCTAAAAACTAGAAAAATGCTTATTTTGGCCCCTAATTCCTACACTGTTAGGACCATAACCCCCAAAATCAATCCTAACCTTCCTTTTGTGGTTATAAACCTTGTGTTTAAATTTCATAGATTTCTATTAACTAATACATGTACTAAAGTTCTTGTCAGGAAACCAAGTGTCTTCGGACGACGACGATGACTTGATACCAATATACGACAATCGTAAAAAAAGAAGATGTGGTATGATTGCCAATGCGACAACTCTCCACAAGAGACCAAATTGACACAGAAATTAACAACTATAGGTCACTGTACAGCCTTCAACTATGAGCAAAGCCCATACCGCATAGTCAGCTATTAAAGGCCCCGAAATGACAATGTAAAACAATTCAAACGAGAAAACTAACGGCTTAATTTATGTACAAAAAATGAACAAAAAACAAATATGTAACACATAAACAAATGACAACCACAGAATTACAGGCTCCTGACTTGGGACAGGCACATACATACAGAATGTGGCGGGGGTAAACATGTTAGCGGGATCCCAACCCTCCCCCTAACCTGGGACAATGGTGTAACAGTACATCATAAGAACGAGCTATACAAATCAGTTGAAAAAGGCTTAACTCATCAGATGGATAAAAATACAAATACTACAAATACAAGTGGTTGTGGCCGGGAACTTATACATCCCAACAACAAATAGACACTAAATACAGATCTGAGAGTACTTGCAGTTACTGACAGCTATTTCAAAGCCCCTAACAACTAATAACAAAAATCATGCATCTAAGACTAAATTATCAATCAGTACATCCAATGGATTTAGTGTAAAGACGTCAAAAACAGTCAGAGAAAAACATGACCTTGTGCAATACCAAGATACAGGTATCAAAAGATTGTAGATCCATGAATGTGTATATGTATATAACAATAATATTTAGTTTGCTTTTAATTTTCTGATAACAAAATCAATATAAAATCCCAATAAAAACAATATTCAGTGAATGACTGAGGGATTGGGACCAAATAATCTCTATGGAAATGAGAAGTGCATATCCTACTATAACTGCACACCAAATATTATTGACTATATATATATAACTACCATAAGTAAGTCTAAATTGAAAACAACGTGCAAACCTATGATTGCGTTGGATAACAAACCGCAATTTTTATACGTGTGCATGCAAAACAAATTTCTTGTTAGAGGGGTCTAAATACAGCACAAACAACATTTTCCAAAAGACCAAAAAAGTGAAAAAGTATATTTTAACAAAACGCATTTGACTAACAAGTCGAACAACAAATGTTCTTAAACCCTGCTGACTGCCATTGGCGATTGCCAAATAAACGGATCACCGATGTAATAAATGAATCTTAATTATAAATTTAATACTAAACAGAAAACAATGAACTTGCGGAAAAGATGGTATACCGCAAACAAAAGGTGCAAAGGTTTTTGTACACCATATCCAGATTTCGACAATTAATGTCTCTTCAGTGATGTTAGGAATCGAAACAGTATTTGGAAAGCCATAAAATTTACCTCAATTTAGGATAGACTCTTGAATTTTGAGGAGTCAAAATAGGATGAACGGATCATATAAACCAGAAGGCAAATATAATACAAGCCCAAACGAAAAAATATAAACAAGTCTAAATTGAAAACAACGTTCAAACCTATGATTGCCTTGGATAACAAACCGCAATTTTTATACGTGTGCATGCAAAACAAATTTCTTGTTAGAGGGGTCTAAATACAGCACAAACAACATTTTCCAAAAGACCAAAAAAGTGAAAAAGTATATTTTAACAAAATGCATTTGACTAACAAGTCGAATAACAAATGTTCTTAAACCCTGCTGACTGCCATTGGCGATTGCCAAATAAAAGGATCACCGATGTAATAAATGAATCTTAATTATAAATTTAATACTAAACAGAAAACAATGAACTTGCGGAAAAGATGGTATACCGCAAACAAAAGGGGTAAAGGTTTTATTTCTTGGTTTCCTTAAACTGACTTCATGAATATCAACAAATTTTTTACGACTATGCCTCTATTGAAAACAGCATGCCTAAGCCACAGCTTCATAACTGTTGTGGCTAGACAAAAAAGAACAAGCAATTAAGAAAGCTTTGAATGCAATTTTCTATAAAAATGACCTTTTAAAAAAATTAAATTTGTCACTTCTAACATGGATAATTTTCGAACTTGCCCACAACATTACAAGAATCAAACTTTAAACTCTATGACCTCAAACTTTCAAAAAAATCTTCGAAACTGCATGTACAGAGTCTGACAAGAAAAAAATTATTCAAACATAGTTATCATTTTCATTACATACCTCTCATCACAAAATTATTCATTGACTACTGCTCCTCATATGCACGTAAATCAATAGGACGATCTATGACTCCACTATATAATCTAGAAAGCAATGCCTCAAATGAATTCTGTCCTGTTGCTTAGCTTCTCCTACTTCTCAAAGTAATTGTACTTTCGTTGAAAAAGCTAAAATAAATAAGGTTTAATAAAATGAAGTTATAATACAAAGTATCTGCCAAAATTGCCTTTAATATTTTAATCTGGCATAATTGGCTTGGTTTGATCATTTAAAACTAGACCAACAAATTTTCCCTGAAAAAAAAATGACTACAAAAAAGTATTTAATCATTTTATTAATGTTCTAATCCATCATATAAATTCCATATGACCCTTGAATGAAGGGATGAACAAAAGTGATAACATGTATATATTACAGGATCTCTGAATCTGTCATGATTTATAATGCCAATCTTTGGGGATTAAGTTATTAATAATCATGATACTTTGAAATTGTAAAGTTATTCAAAGTTGTTTAAATTACACCAAAAGTTGGACTATTTTATATAAGGTAGTATCTGAGAAATGGACTAAACCAGGCAAGGTTTGGTGGTAAATACATTGTACATGTATGTTATGTACAATGTACTTTGTTTTTGGCTTTGAACTAGGTGTTAGTAACTGGATGTACTCTCAGATCTGAACTTGGAGTCTTTTTTGTTGTGGGGATGTATAAATACCCACCACGTCTTGTGTGTGGTTTTGTTAGATGTCTATCTACTTTGTATAGATCTGACGAGTTAAGCCCTTTTCACATCAATATACCAGGTTAGGTGGGTTCGGCACCACATACTACTAGTCTAGCCCCCCCCCCCCCCCCCCCCCCCCATCATGTACATACTTGTATGTATGTGCCTGTCCCATGTCAGGAGCCTGTAATTCAGTGGTTCAGTTTGTCGTTTGTTGCTGTGTATCATATTTTTGTTTTGTTCTTTGTTTTGTATATAAATTAGTCTGTTAGTTTTCTTGTTTGAATTATTTTACAAATTTGTCATTTTCATTTGGGGTCTTTTATAGCTGACTATATGGTATGGGGTTTGCTCATTGTTGAAGGATGTACAGTGACCTATAGTTGTTAACTTTGATGTCATTTGATCTCTGATGGAGAGTTGTTTTTTCTCATTAGTGTAAACATTTTGAAAATAATTAGGTTATTTAAACATTACAATATGACAGTTTTATTAGGATTGGAAAACAAGTGAATTTTCACTGACTTTTACCAATTCCTCTCTTTTCTCATTGGCAATCATACCACATTTTCTTATTTTTATATTTACATTACGTACATGTAAAGTAGACCTTTCATCTTCTCGAGGTGTCCGATTCCTAAGTTCATGTACAACAGGGGGCCCTAATTAACAGCATGATTTTGAGTCGGCTAAAAAACAATCAGATAGATTATGATACAATTAACAGGTTTCATTGCAATTATTTTGCAAATAACTAAGCTAATGCAAGAAATTGAAGAATAAAGTTATTTTCCAATAAATACATAAATTAAATAATAGTAAATAATGAATCTACAATTATATTTTAAGAAGTGAAACATCATTTAAATTCAATAAATATCATATATTAAATTTCAATTTTTTTTTTAATTCTGGGTAGATAAGTTTTCATTTTTTTAAAGTACATGTAAGGCGAGTTGGTAGACCTTTATCTGTTTATAATATATTCATTTGGATTTTACCCAAGTTACTTAGTTAGGCAAGTTGCCACTGTTGGCAGGAGTACATTGTATATTTAACAGGATTTAATCCTTTTCATAAGTGGGGCAATTTTTTTTTAATGTGGGGCAAGCAAGTTGGTATGAAGTTGCTACTACTTGATTTGGGGGGGAGGGGGGCTAGGATGAAAATATTATCCTCCATTTTTTTTAGTTGTAATATCTGTCCTGACAGTTTATTATTCACTCATTTGGGTCCTGGCTTTTATTTTTTTACTCAAAACTCCTGTCCCGCATTTTTTCAAATTCCGTCAAAGCCCCCTCTCCCATAAAAATCAAATGGTAGCTCCCTAAACAAGAGTGGAGCGATTTTAAAATAATGGGGCGTTTTGCCAATGGCAAATTATGGGGCGAGTTGACTTGCTTCCGTTTTGGCCAATCTTTGACTGATTTTCGGGTTTACATGCATGACATGGATAAAGTCAAATGGTTTTTCGTGAAAAGTATAGCACTGGCATCTTCCTAAAAATGTGCATGATTATATTTACATTTCATTGCGCGTTCCAAGTACAATAAGTTGGTACGGAATCCATCAAAACGAAACACTTTCGTTGCGTTGACTTTCTAATGGTTCCCCGGATTCAGTTAAGGTTCATGTGGACCCTTTGGCGAAAATGGCTGCGTTTTCACCTCAAAATTTACTCTGAGTACAGACAAACCTGTGCATCTGGAAAAGTTTTAAGGCATAGCATGCCCTTGATTAATAAAATTCAAATGCATTGTATGTTTTAGAAAATTTAAGACTTAAATTGATTTTGCAGTGCACTTTTTTTCGTCCCTGCAGAAGATGATAAAATTAACAAACAGTTGAGTTTCACTTGATATGGTCCACTCAGGTACACAGTTTAAATCACCAGTTATTGTCAGGTATCTATTGTCCATCTATTGTCCATGTCAATCAATACAGTTCACTTCAATTATTACCTATGGGGAAGTTCTCAAACCTCTTTCTCAACTTAGATGAGTAACTAGTAAGACTTAGTTTATTTTTTCACCTTCTGGAGGAATGAAAAAAAGTGCACTGTAAAATCCTGTTAAGTTTTTAATTTTTTAAAACCTAAAATATATTTGAATTTTATTTATCTAGGGCATGCTATGCCTTAAAACTTTTCAAGATACACAGGTTTGTCTGTACTCAGAGTAAATTTTGAGGTGAAAATGCAGCCATTTTAGCCAAAGGGTCCACATGAACCTTAATCGACAATGTAAGTTACTAACCCATTTCAATATATCTGTTTATAATAACTTTGATCCATCAGTTTGATAAATCTAAGGTCTTTGTATCAACTATCTGACTATCTTTGTCCATTCTTTTTAAACAGTAAAACATGAATTCAGCAGCAGACGAGCGTCGGAGTTTGACGGGGGGAGTTTGGAAAATTGACAAACCATAATCACTCTAATCAGAGAAGAATTAAATGTTAGGCAGTTAGAGTGCAATAAATAAAATATAAACATATATTTTTCAAAATGATGTCACAGAAAACACAGATTTTTTTTATTACTAATAAGATTCTGCACTTTGAGTATCTATGTCCAACAGATGTCAGTGAATTAGAAATTTTACTAATCTGATAGACGTTTAGTTAAGAATCTGTGACAAGTTCTTTTGTAATATTATTAGGAAATTGCCTACCGCCTCCTTGATTTAGAATTGCATACTCTTCAAGATTAAGCTAGCCTACACAAATAACAGCCAGTTTTGGACTTGATCTTTTTGTCCAAGGTTAAACAATATATATGTATTTATAAAGGTTACTCGGGAACACGTGTATTTGTTTACTTTTAACACGTGTGTTTAAATCAAAACATGTTTATGTTTAATTTGATTGGACCATCAGTAAGTTATTACCGGTTTAAGTTATATCAATCATGATAACTTCATGCTAGAATTTTAGCGCTAAAATTATAATAAGATATCTAGAATTGTCATTCGAGGTTCGCCAATCCGACAGAAAGGTTCGTTTTTTCTTAAATCGCCACTTGGTAAAATGTCCGAATCTTCTCCACGTCTGGAATTGAATGAAGACATACTACTCGAAGGAGATAATAGTTTACCGCCACCTAATATTCATAAAGCAGCTGATAAGTCGTCTGATTTGGTAGATACTGTAGAGCTTTTTAAGACAATTTTAGACAGCAAGTTAGGTGAGTTGAAATCTGAACTCATACAAGAACAAGATTGCCTTAAGAGAAAAATTAAGGAGGACGTCACTCTAAAATTTAAGGGGGAAGGAAACAGAATTCAGTACACCTTTAACGAGGAATTATTAGACACTGTTAATAAACTTTCAAAATTCATCCCTAACTCCAATACTCAAGCCTATAGATTAGTTCTTGACATAACTGATAAGATCAAAAGCCGTAATAAGAAAATACGCATAGCTGATGCTTCCCCTGCTGGTTGGGGAACCGTTAGGGAATACGAATCCAATGCCGTGGCTTCAGATTCTGAAGATGAGAGAAAGATACGACAAGCTGAGACCAGAGCTATCCGTACCTCCAAGGAGAAGTCAAAATCTCGCCAGCAACCTTACCCAAAAAATCCGCCTCGTCAACAACCTGCGGAATCTTATGGTAACCCTGCTTACGCTCAGCATTATCAACGTAATCAGCAACAGCCCTTTCGTGGGAGCTTCGCAAGGCGTGAGCCTTGCTCAATCGACACGTGCCACTACTGCAAGCAACAAGGCCACTGGAGAAAAAACTGTCCTCTTCTCGCCAGTCTCAGGTCATCTAACAGCAACTCCACAACCTACCAGAAGTAGTAAAGTAGGGCCTGAACGTCACTCTCCAGTCATTGTGAATGATAAGTATTTAGACACTATTAATGACCAATTTTCTACATGTTTTGTTGATAACGATTATATAGAATCTTTTTTAGATCAAGTTCAATATTTTGAAAATTGTCAGTCATATGATAAATTTAAAGGGGTGAAAGGTAGATTAGCTTGTCATGTAAAGTATTGGGAAAATATAGGTGCTTGTCCTTTTGTGCTTGATACAATAAAAAATGGTTATGTTATTCCATTTATAGATACACCTTTTAAAATGTACCACAGAAATAATAGATCAGCACGGCAGAATACTGAATTTGTCACAAAGTCAATTGAAGATTTAGTTCAAATAGGTTGCGTAATTAAAGTGCCTTTTCAACCATATGTGGTAAATCCATTGAGTGTTGCTACTCAAAAGTCCGGTAAGAAACGACTTATTTTAGATATGAGTCAATTGAATAAACACATAAAGCGCGAAAAATAAAATTTGAGGATTGGAAGTTAGCTATACAATATTTTGACAAAGATATGTATCTGTTTAAGTTTGATTTAAAATCTGGTTATTTTCACTTAGACATATGCTCACAGCAACAGACTTTCTTAGGTTTTCAGTGGGAAGGTCAATTTTATTGCTATACTGTTTTAGCTTTCGGAATTACTACCGGTCCGTACATTTTTACTAAATGTTTGAGGCCACTAGTAAAATTTTGGCGTGGAAACGGTATAAAAGTTGTTTTGTATTTAGATGATGGATTTGGCATGAGTCCAGATGAAAATACATGTAATGAGCAATCGTCCTTCGTAAAAAGGTCTTTGATTGATGCTGGTTTCCTTATTAACGAGGAGAAGTCTGTTTTTTAAACCTGTTACCGAGTTAGAATGGTTGGGAATAGTTTGGAACTCGAAAGAATACAAATTATCTATTACTCAACGTCGAGTTGACGATTTGATTTTCTCATTGAATGTAATTTTGGCTAAATTTCCCTATGTTACAGCTAGATCTTTAGCTCAGGTTGTAGGTAGAATTATTTCTATGACTCCCGTAATCGGAAATGTGGCTAGAATTATGTCAAAGTTCTGTTACATGGAAATTGAAAGTAGAATTGGGTGGGATATTCCCATTACAGGGTACAAACCCGTCGAGGTTTTATCAGAGTTAAAGTTCTGGTTAGAAAATGTCACCATGATTAACTATCGTAATTTATGTCATTACAGTAAATCTTCTGTTGTCATATACTCAGATGCTAGTAATATTGCCGCTGGTGCATACACCGTTGAATTAGAAAATAAGATTTTCCATAAGATGTGGACATGTAGTGAAACGGTACAAAGCTCCACATGGAGAGAGCTGAAAGCTATAGAGTTGGCCCTTTTTTCTTTTAAGAATAGTTTCACAGGAAAAACTATAAAGTGGTTTACTGACAATCAAAATTGTGTCAAAATTGTTAATTCGGGAAGTATGAAAGAAAATCTTCATGTTATAGCAAAATCTATTTTTTCATTTTGCATTCAAAAAGGAATATCAATTGACATTCAATGGGTTCCCAGAAAAGAAAATGAAAAGGCTGATTATATCAGCAAAATGGTTGATTTCGAGGACTGGGGAGTCACACATATATTTTTCAATTTTTTAAATGATATGTGGGGTCCTTATTCGATTGACAGGTTTGCAAGTGTCGAAAATAGAAAAGTTATGAGATTTAACTCCTTATTTTGGCAACCTGATTCTGAAGCAGTTGATGCATTTTCTCAAGTTTGGACCAATGAAAATAATTGGCTAGTTCCACCAATTAATCTTGTGATACGATCGATTAAACACATTATAGCTTGTAAAGCTCGAGGCACGTTAGTTGTGCCTAAGTGGATTTCTGCTGCATTCTGGCCTTTGATATTCGATAAACATCTGATTTATCAAGATTACGTAAAAGATGTTATTGTGTTTAAAAATACTGATGGTATTTATAAGCAAGGTTCGAATAAGAATACGATATTCGGAATTGAACCGTTTGGTTCGCCAGTTTTGGCTGTTTTGCTAGATGCATCTTAGACATGGCCCTAATATATATAGATATATTTTAGCAGGCATGGTCTGTTTGTGACATGGCCCTAATATATATATAGATATATTGTAGCAGTCATGGTCTGTTTGTGACATGGCCCTAGTATATGTATATTGTAGCAGGCATGGGTGTTTATGTTGACATGGCCCTAGTATCGGTAATGATATTGTAGCAGGCTTGGTTTTTTATTTGACATGGCCCTAGTATCTATAATGATATTTTAGCAGGCATGGTAATTTGTTTTACAGTTTATGGCCCTAGTATCTATAAAGATATTGTAGCTGGCGTTGAAATATTTGAATATATATTATATTTTACTGTGTATAGAAATCTGAAATATGCTAATAATTCGTCCTCTGTATATGTATATAAAATGTTATTGCAATTTTACGTTTTTCAGATATTTTTTCAGTAGGACATTGGTCAGACTTTAATTCACAAGTTGCCTCTAATAATGATCTCAGCAGTTTGTTCAAACAGTTACCAGAATTCCTTCTTTCGTCCAAGGCTGCGAGTACTCAGAAGAAATATAGATATGCCTTCAATTCATGGTGTAAGTGGACTAGTCAATATTCTTTTTCACCATTGCCAGCATCTCATTTACATATTTCTTTATATTTAATTCATTTGTCTGAAACTGCAAAATCGGTTTCAAAATTAAATGATGCTTTTTACGCCATAAAATGGGCACATAAATTAGCTGGCGTTGCTGATCCCAGTGAAAATAATCTAGTTGCATCTGTTCTTGAAGGGGCTCATAGAAAAATAGGTCATTCAGTTGTCAAAAAAGAACCTATCACACCGCATATTTTGAAAAATATTGTATGTAAATATGCTAATAATACTTGTAATTTAAAAGATGTAAGAATAGCATGTATGTGTTTATTAGCCTATGCTGGCTTTTTAAGATTCTCCGAGTTAGCTAACTTGAGAAGGTCTGATATACAGTTTTCCCCTACTTACCTTACACTTCATTTAGTCAAGAGTAAAACTGATGTATATAGGGAAGGGAAAGATTGATTGATTGTTGATTGTTGGTTGCTTAACGTCCAGTGGCAAATATTTCATGCATATTCAGGACGAGAACAAGTTCACAATAAATACAATAGGTAGGATCTGTAATAGATTAAGGGATTAAGGTCGGAGAAATTTAGACTGCCACGGGAAATGAGGGTATATTGGATAGGAACAGAAATTTAGCCTTGCAACAGGTCACCTACGGACCCCTCAAAGAGTTGTTGCAAGGGTTCTTAACGTGCAAAGAGCGTGGCACTCTCTTTACACGAGGCATCGGATTTAACGTCCCCATTCTGACCGGACGTGGCTGCAAATTTGTACATCCCGCACAGCCAAAACGGACGCCCCACTTTAGCACGGGTTTTACTGCCGGTCGGAGGAAGACCAATGGTGACCATACTTCTATACCCCAGTCACCCTTGGGGTGGGAAGGGAAAGATGTTGTCATTTCAAAAACAGGGAATATTACATGCCCGGTAGATGTACTTCAGCGTTATCTAAAGTTAGCTAACATTCCTGAAGAATCGAATGATTTTATTTTTAGATCTATTTGTTATTGTAAATCTTTGAATATATACAAACTTAGAAAGAGTAGTCATATTTCTTACACCAGAGCCAGAGAGTTATTGTTATCTGCACTTGACAGTTTAGGTCTTGATAAAAAACAGTTTGGCTTACATAGTTTGAGGTCAGGAGGAGCTACTGCCGCGGCAGAAGCTGGAATAGATGACCGGTTGTTTAAGAAACACGGGAGATGGAAAAGTGATAAAGCCAAAGATGGTTATGTTAAAGAGAGTATACTCAACAGATTGTCAGTATCTAAGAATTTAGGATTGTAATTTATATTGTTTGTCCCCCCTTTTTCTTTATGTCCCTTTCTTTATCAATCGAAGCTTTCTGTGCTGTCGGGGCGAGCTGATAACCAAAAACTGTGTTGAGTTTTTACTTTGTAAATGCTTTATGTTCGTTTGAAGTATTGAATAAGAACATAAATGTATTTATAAAGGTTACTCGGGAACACGTGTATTTGTTTACTTTTAACACGTGTGTTTAAATCAAAACATGTTTATGTTTAATTTGATTGGACCATCAGTAAGTTATTACCGGTTTAAGTTATATCAATCATGATAACTTCATGCTAGAATTTTAGCGCTAAAATTATAATAAGATATCTAGAATTGTCATTCGAGGTTCGCCTATCCGACAGAAAGGTTCGTTTTCCCACCCACCCACCCCTTTTATTAAGACTTCATAGGAATGTGAATCAGTATGTTATGTAGAAAATAGTTGATAAAATACATGTATGTAAATCGAAATGATTTTTTCTTCAACTTATAGAACATTTTTCTATTGTAGATTGTGTTTATATGTGATGGCAGCGGTCGATGACAGCAAATTGGACATTTGTTTATTGTTTATAATAAAAATAAGCTTTCTGTGCTGTCGGGGCGAGCTGATAACCAAAAACTGTGTTGAGTTTTTACTTTGTAAATGCTTTATGTTCGTTTGAAGTATTGAATAAGAACATAACTTGTTTTATAATTTTCAACTCATGAACTATGCAAATATTTTTAACACTATCTCCGCATGATATTCGACGAAAAGCTCACCAGATCTTATCTTCACATGTTTGCCAATATGGCGAATCAAATCAAAGTTTTACTTACTTAATTTGGCAATTACATGTATACTCAAACCTAGGTTGCCACATGTTAAGCAGGAAGTTCCTAACTTATCATTCACAATACTTTAGTTCACCCATGAGCTTTGGAGGTTCGTGTTGCACATAAAGGCGGATTTAGAGCACCCTGCCCCTCCCCTTTTTTGGGAAAAACTTGATCTATTATATCGGGAATCACTGATGCATAACTAGGGAGGCCCCCTCTTTAGCAGTCAGTGGGCCCCCTTATGAAAATTTCTGGATCCGTCAATGGCACAATTTTTAGTTTTTGTGTAATGTTAAGCCAAACGGTTACTGGAGATTTCTGTCCAGTATTTCATACCAAGGTTGTTTGGGTATCACAGTTTTAAAATGTTATCACCGTTGATCCAATAAACAAATCCTTGGTTGATCTATTCTTAAACAACTTCTTTCCAGTAGTACCCTCACAATGGTATTAATGACATGAATGCCTCCAACCTGGGACTATTATCGAGACTATTATACAATAGTCCCAGCTCCAACACTGATTGATATTGATGTTCCCCTTATAAATAGAATAGAGAAATTGAGGACATTTGTTCCACATTTTATGAACTTTGAAAGAACACAAGCACATGTAACTTTTGACACCACCTGCGGGCAAGTGCCTGTAGGACACTGATGTGGTGGCACGTGGGTGGTGGTAAGTTTATAACCGCCGTTACAGTAAACCCCTCTCAACCCACCAAATGCTTGCTTGAAACACAAGTAAAATATAAGCAGGTAATTATGTCCTTTACTTTTATTCCACACCAAAGATGAAGAAATGTATGATAAAGTTATAATGGTATATTATTCTGTACATTGTATAAGCCTAAAAATTAAAGGGACGAAGTATGTAGTGACTATTGTTTGTCGTGTTTTAAACACGATAATAGTGTTGCTTTCCCCTTTATCTTATGAGCCGTATTGAACAGGACAGACTACCCTAAACACTCTGAAACTTTTCAAGTACTTTCTATATGCTCATGTGTATTATCTTGTTAGCATAGTTTTGTACTTGGACAGATAATCAGAATGGTCAACAATCAAGTATTGACAATGTTAATTGGTCACGTTTGTTTGAACTACCAAAAGGTAATTTTTAAATTTACACTTGTACAGTCCAATGTCAATGTTACATACAATCAGTCATTTTTGTAACACAAGGGTTACAAATAAGAAAATACTAAATAAAATATGCAAATGTATAATTTAGTTCCATAACTGTATGAAGCACCTAAGACTTAAATATATCTACTGGGTGTATCTGTCTGTCTTTTGTCCAAGATAGTTGGCAGATAAATAGTAATAAAAAGAGATGTAAGGTTATTGTAACACACCTTTGAGAAAGTTATTCAAACAATAATAACAAAAACACAACACAACACATCTAGATATTCCAAGTTCTAAATCATTTTTTTCAAAGTGGTGAAGATCAAAATATCTGCCATTAACACCAAATTCTCCCAATATAAACACATACTTCATTTACCTGTGTATATGTCATGTATGTATTAAAAGAAATACCAATGAAAATCTTAATTAAGAATAACGTTTAAAGATTAAACTTTTAATTGTTCAAATAAGAAGAAGATTTTATGGGAGAAGGGGGATGATTCACAGAATCCCCTGGCCTACTCCATTTAGGAATTATATATATAGAGAGAGACTTCTTTACAAATCTAGTCTCACTTTTTTTTCAGGATCCTGGACCCATATCTGACAATTATTGAAACTTTATTTACTTTGCCTTTTTTTCCTGCGATTATTTTCCTAAGCTGATTGGATAAAATACCATTTATTATGGTGACAATTAAGGATAATCAGGGGCTGATCCAGCCATTTTTAAAAGGGGGAGGGTCCCAACACAGGATAAACGGGGGGTTCCAATTATATTTCCCCATTAAAATGCATTGATCATTCAAAAAAAGGGGGGTTTCATGTGAAAATAAATTTTTTAAAAGTAAAATAAGATTTTCAATGGAATATATGTCTTACAAGGTATTAGATGTTAATAAACAAGTTTTAATTTTGATGTAAATTTTTTTCAACTTGGACACAATTAACTTTTTTTTCATGTGAATTTCACATGAAAAATTTAACGTAAAATTCACGTGAAAAATTTAACTTGAATTTAAATCAACAAAATTTGCCTGTGTAACACATGCGTTTGACTATACATGTGTTACACATGCAAATATCGCATGTGTCACATGCGTTTTCCAACACATTTCCAACACATGCGTGACACAGGTGTTTTTCTGACACATGCGATTCACATGCGTGTGTTACGCATGTGAACGCATGTGTACCACGCATGATTCACATGTGTGGCAAGAAACATGTGTAATACGCATGTGACACACCTGTGACACATGTGTAAAACATTTATTCAGATCAACAACACATTCTTCAACTGTTAATCCTTGAACTTTGTGAATAGTGCAAGCCCAGGCTAACTTTAATGGAAACTGTTTTTTAACAGTTGCTCAAAGGAATGTCTTCGCTAGAAGGCTTTAAAGCAACACAGCGTTTACCACTGATATATTTTTGTAACTTTGCATTTTATCCAACTCTTTCATTGTCAAAGTGAACATATATGGTACTAGGGAGGGAATTAGGTGAGTAGTCTTTGATAGATATAACTGTTCCCATTACACCATTTACCAAACCATCTGATGTGTCCTCATTCTTAATAAGCATTACTCTTGCTCCCTCAGCTAAAAGAATAGATATTGGAAGACAAACATCTGACTTTGTACAATGGACTTTTTTCAGAGTCAATTTCCCTGAAGTTTTGTTTTTTTCATAGTCTTCTGCTTCAATTAGTTTTGGTTCTGTACATAGCTTCATTTTCATCCTCTTGTTAAAGGAGTCAACCTCTGCATTTGTAGAAAATATGTGTAAGGCTTTATCCGGTCCATCACCAAAGTAGTCTTTTAAAGCTTCTTTATCAGATAATGACAAATTTTGGTTTTTCTGCTTAACACGTAATCTATTTAATAGTTCTGCAAAAAAGCCATCCTCACGTTGACGCATTATTTCATCCAACTCAGCAATTTCAAACAAACCATTCCATAGTTGATTTGAGGGATTGATTGATTGATTGTTGGTTGCTTAACGTCCAGTGGCAAATATTTCATGCATATTCAGGACGAGAACAAAATAACAATAAATACAATAGGTAGGTTCTGTAAAAGGAGCGTCCGGGATTAAGGTCGGAGAAATTTAGACTGCCACGGGAAATGAGGGTATATTGGATAGGGACAGAAATTTAGCCTTACAACAGGTCACCTATGGACCCCTCATAGAGTTGTTGCAAGGGTTCTTAACGTGCAAAGAGCGTGGCACTCTCTTTACACGAGGCATCGGATTTAACGTCCCCATTCTGACCGGACGTGGCTGCAAATTTGTACATCCCGCACAGACAAACGGACGCCCCACTTTGGCAAGGGTTTTACTGCCGGTCGGAGGAAGACCAATGGTGACCATACTTCTATTCCCCAGTCACCCTTGGGGGGAGGGGGGAGGGGGGATTAGAGGGATCATCTACATACAATTTGTCTACTCTTTTTGTTCTAACAGGTGGTAACTGATAGAAATCACCAACTGCAACTATAGAAACACCCCCAAATAGACAATTGTATGGTCTTTTTTTTACTTGTCTAAGTCGTTCATGAACGAAAAACAGCAATTTCTTGTTGACCATTGAAATTTCATCAATAATCAGGATTTGCAAATTTTCTAACTTTGTTCTGAGTGAATTAATTTTGTCTTCACTTAGAGTGGGATGGTCGGGTGAAAGTGATTTGAAAATTCCAAGAGCACTATGAATTGTCAATCCATGTATATTAAAAGCAGCTGTTCCAGTTGGAGCTGTTAACAGAACTGTGAGATCATCCGGATTATCAGAAGTTTGTGCCAATATTCGAGTTGCTTCATATTGTATACATTTGATCAAGTGACTTTTACCTGTTCCTGTTCCTCCTGTAATGAATAAATGTAGAGGCTCTGGTGTTTTTCCATTTGCTTTCTGAATGCACCAATCTCTTACTTCATAAAGAATTCTTCTCTGTTTTACATTCAAACTTCTGAGTCTTGGAATAATTTCATTTTTAGTGAGGGAAACTGACAGCAAATTAGTTCCTACAGATGATGAGCACTTTTCATTATTCAAATCTGGTATTGCTGCTTCAGACAAATCTTCTTCAATTACACTTGTTACTTTTCTTTCATCTATACATTCTCTCCTGTTCACCTCTGCTTCTGGACATAACTAACACCATGCATCTTCTTTTGGATCTTTTTCATGCAACTGTTTTTCTGCTTCCTCTAAATCTTTACCATTTTTTACAAAATCTGACATGTTTTTGTTTTACAGAGCTCAAAGTATCATCCCCTGGATACTTAACTCTACCACAAGCAAAGAAATTCTCATATGTATGAAATAGAGGTGGTTTTAACTGTTCATCATATCTATATGGTAAAAAGAGTTGCAAAATGCTTTGAAAGTATTTCTCTGGGGAAGTTTCCTGTGAGAAACGTGGATATTTGATAACTGCAGGTGAGGTTCTTGTACGCTTTTTAATATATCCAAGGTCACCATCAAGTTTGAAGGTTGTTTCTTCATTAATTTTCTGTGGTAACTGTGACTTTCATAACACATTGTATTCAGAACCAAATCTGGCCAGACACATTTTGGTAAAAATAACAATATGTGGTCTATCTTTATATCTATCAACTATATTGTTCATCCAAATTTTACTCTCATCTTCATCTTCACTGTCACTATTACTCTTTTTGCTTTTTGATGTCTTGTAACTTTGTTGCTTCTCCAGGTCTT